ACTTGTTATCTTATTGACAAACAAGTTTCGATTTTATTTACTACCCTCGAGAGTTGCACTCGAAATGTCGTATGCAAATCGTTGTCAACCGTGTTTCATTGAAGTGGATGAGTACTTGGCCCCATGAAAAACAAACAAACCCTCCAAAGATCTAGTTCATAGCTAAGTAGTTGATCACGAATGAATCGAAATCGAAATGGCATGTTTTTCTGGACACTGACTCTGCTGGGGGGGCGTATATACATACATACATATATGTACATATGTATGTGTCACTTCCGGCCCTATCTTGCTGCCGTATCTTATCTAACATAGAGATCTTGGCAGGCACCAAGCTCCCCGAAATAAAAATGATTTCGGAGAAGGCAGCCCACGCCCGCGTAGATTTTGCACTCAGCGTTTTAATCATATGGCGAAGAATTCTGGTCAGCTGACCGGCCGAGGCAACCGGTCTCTGGTCGATCCGAAAGATCCCCGCCTGTTGCCAATGGGGGGATACATATAGACGTGGCTATATGGCCCACACAGCCGCACGAGCGAGCCCCCAAATGTGTTATCGCACCGATTGTATAAGCATACACACCAGCTAGGCAAGGCTAGCTGTCGGTACATTAATAGATTTATTTTTTGTATTTATTGTTTCTGGTATACAAACTTACTTTTTGGTTAAAACAAAAAAAAAAACGACAACAAGTCGCCTGATAAAGCCGGTTGCCGCTGGTCTTCTGGCATTTCAAATTTCTGCTGCGGCTTGGCTGTTTTTTGTTTTTATGGTAAACACACACATAAGCGAAAAGAAAGGCGAAGACCGGGGCTTCGGCAAAAATAGAGTTGTGGGTACAGTCAGCACATTTCTCAGCTCGACTCGCCATTCGATTCGATATGACGGTTAAGCTCACTCAGCAGAAAGCCAAGGAGAACAAGCAAAAGATCAAGAAAAAAGGGTTTCCTGGCTCAAAAATCTTGAAATTTCGGAAGAAAACCTTCAGTCGTTATAAAAGCTGATAGATGGCCGTACTGAGTTACTAACTTGTTCAATATTATTAACATAGCATCTGAGTTGTCCATTTTTTTAATATATTAAACAATTAAATTTGTTTAAAACACTTGGTACTCGAGGACCACGTAGACATAAACATACTTACCTAGGTATTTATCTCTTAAAGCTTACAAAAACAAACAGTAAGAAAGCTACATTCAGTTTAAAAATTAGAAATACCTTGAATTCTATTTTTAAATTGCTTATATTTTTCTGTTAGCCGAGACAAAAGTACCATAAATCCAGAATACTGCTTCAAAATCCATAATACATAAATAAATTCCAGTCAGTAAATAATGATTTGTAATTTGCTAATTCGTGTACTCATCGTACTTTTGTTTATATGTAAGTTCCTGTTGTCGGGCACGCACGAACTCACTCAGCTGATAATTTTGAGTGCAAAAAACGAATGATTATTTGGATGTTTTTTTCTTTTTTTTTGAGAAACCTAAAGTTAGCTTGATTCATGGTCGTTATCGGCATGGCAACACAGCGTAGAACTTAGTCCAAAAACTAAGCTCATTTTGGATTTTATAGTCTTGTTTTTGGGGGCTCGTCGCGAGGTTCAAGTGGGGAAGTCATTAATTCAGCTAGCTCTACATCTACATATTGAGGCCATTCAATGGAACTTGCTCCTGCCAATAAAGTACCATTTATCGATCGATAAAAGCGGGCTCTTTGCTCTTTCAAGTTTTTACAATTGAACACGCTTATTAAAGTCGAATTACAGGCAGAAAATATTGTGGCTTATCTAATCGGGGCTTTCTGGAAGATATCAGAATTAAATGTGCCAAGCAAATAAAGATAAGAACCAGGGCGTTTTATCGTTTCTGTTCTTGGGGCTGTTGCGACATCACCGAAAGGTTTCCCCAAGTCTGCCAGATGCAATGATTTTCTTTAGGGCACGTGATTGAAAAAGCCAGCCAAGAATTGTTAAATTGTATCATCGCTTCGAGGAAAACTTTTGCTTTCCGCGAGGAATTCGTGTAGTCTGCCGGCTATTTTTGGATCTGTCTGTTGGATTTAGGCCAAAAATGAAAGCTGCATCAAGGCCGGCATGTTCTGAGTACACCTGTCGTATACGTAATGTGCTTATGCAATTGCTTTTCCTTCGCAGGTATCCGCTTCTCTTTGGATGTGTCACGCGATGAGGTCAAAGCCCTGTCCGCCCTGATGACCTTCAAGTGCGCCTGCGTGGATGTGCCATTCGGCGGCGCCAAGGCCGGCCTGAAGATCAACCCCAAGGAGTACTCCGAGCACGAGCTGGAGAAGATCACGCGCCGCTTCACCCTGGAGTTGGCCAAGAAGGGCTTCATCGGCCCCGGCGTCGATGTGCCAGCCCCCGACATGGGAACCGGCGAGCGCGAGATGTCCTGGATTGCCGACACCTATGCCAAGACCATCGGCCACTTGGACATCAATGCCCATGCCTGTGTCACCGGCAAGCCCATCAACCAGGGCGGCATCCACGGACGCGTCTCGGCCACCGGTCGCGGTGTCTTTCACGGCCTGGAGAACTTCATCAACGAGGCCAACTACATGAGCCAGATCGGTGGGTGTTTTGGCCACGCATGTCTTATGGCAGAAGGGGAATTTAAATCCTATTTATCTTTGTTTTCAGGCACCACTCCCGGCTGGGGCGGCAAGACCTTCATCGTTCAGGGCTTCGGCAACGTGGGCCTGCACACCACCCGCTATCTGACCCGCGCCGGTGCCACCTGCATCGGCGTCATCGAGCACGACGGCACTCTGTTCAACCCGGAGGGCATCGACCCCAAGCTGCTGGAGGACTACAAGAACGAGCACGGCACCATCGTGGGCTACCAGAACGCCAAGCCCTACGAGGGCGAGAACCTCATGTTCGAGAAGTGCGACATCTTCATTCCAGCTGCCGTCGAGAAGGTCATCACCAGCGAGAATGCCAACCGAATCCAAGCTAAGGTAGGAGGGTGCTTTTTTTTGCAGCGATTCACTTAGTAAATAAGGGGTTTTATAGGGTGATACGTATTTCAGTTATGCTATTGCCCAAATAAAGCAAATTTCTTCTAGTCGAAAAGTTCTTGCCAAAAATATAAAATATTCTCTTTTACTTAATCTATTTGACTACAGAAGACATTCAAAACCCATAAGGTGATTTTGAAAGAAATTGAAGAAAATGAAACCTTCTTAATATCAATAGCACTAAACATCATCTAGTTCATTTAATTCATTTTCCTTAATTAAAAAAAACAACCCCTTTTAAATAGTTATTTGAATGGACTTAAACCAATTTTCAGATCATTGCCGAGGCTGCCAACGGACCAACCACACCCGCTGCCGACAAGATCCTGATTGATCGCAACATCCTGGTCATCCCCGATCTGTACATCAACGCCGGTGGTGTCACCGTCTCCTTCTTCGAGTGGCTGAAGAACCTGAACCACGTCTCGTACGGTCGTCTGACCTTCAAGTATGAGCGCGAGTCCAACTACCATCTGCTCGGTAAGTTACATCAGTTTTGTACTTTAAAAGCATAGGCTCTTGAAGGCACTTTGCTCCTCATCTGTATCCATCTATTTATTTCTGCTCATTGATCGTGCCATCTCATTGATCGGTTTATGGATTACTTATGCTATAATTTAGAGAATACAAAACCCGTACAGAATAGCGAATGCTATGTCAGCACTTGCTCTTCCCAGATTGGTTAAGAATTAAACTTGGTTCTCCTCCTTCTAAATTTCGTTTGTCTTTACTTTACTTTCGATCTTATCCACCAACACCAAAAATCAAACCTGCGCCAAAAGACTCTAAAATCGCTATTTAATTTTGAAGTATCATCTAAGTAATTCGTTGTTTATTCTTCTTCTTTTTCCGTTTCTCTATCAACAATGTAGCCTCAGTCCAACAGTCAATTGAAAGAATCATTAATGACGGTACATTCTAATTATTAATTCTTTTTGTTTCCACCTATCCATCATGTTAACACATTCCTTTTTAAACACATTTCTACGCCCATCAAGCCTTTCTTGTTCTGTAAAAATTTTTGTAGTTAGATTGTTTTGTTCCTGTTTTGATTTTATTTGTTCTTTGCAATATCCTCAAGGACCCATTATTTTACTATAATCACACTTAAATTCGACACCATCAAACCCAGTGCTTAGTACGTTTTTCTAATCCCATATCTATAGTTGTTCGATGGCTTTAAACCTTGTCATATATGTTTCCCTACAAGCATGTGGCACTCTCAACTAATCGCTTTGTCCTTTTTGTATCCCCACTCGCTGTCTTCCCGCAGAATCCGTGCAAGAGTCCCTGGAGCGTCGCTTCGGCCGCGTGGGCGGTCGCATCCCCGTGACCCCCTCCGAGTCGTTCCAGAAGCGCATCTCCGGCGCCTCCGAGAAGGACATCGTGCACTCCGGCCTGGACTACACCATGGAGCGCTCCGCCCGCGCCATCATGAAGACGGCCATGAAGTACAACCTGGGCCTGGACCTCAGAACCGCTGCCTACGTTAACTCCATCGAGAAGATCTTCACCACATACCGCGATGCCGGCCTGGCCTTCTAAGCCCGCTGAGTGTGCTGATTAGCCTCCAGACTCTTAACTAGTTAATTAAGCAATCGAACTCAAGAGCATAACTATTGCTATTGCTCCATGCACCGCCGTCTTAGATGAAAATGTCACAAAACCGATATGCAATAATCGTAATTTATACCCTCGGCAATTGGAGCTGGCCGGAATTACTCCTTTTAACAAGCAAAGCAAAACAAAACAAAAGCCAACTATCGCCCATGTTTCGGATTAAGTTAAACAAGTTGCGAGCTTATTATTGTTGATTTTCTGTAATTTTTAAGTTAATGAGCGTCAAAGTGAAGCAATTGCATTTTCAATTATGTATCGCAACGTCTCGTACCGTCAAGTCACGTTTATCGTACGATCGCTCCGTTGCCGTAACATTAAAATAATCAAATATACACAAAACTAAACTCTAAACAAGTGTGTTTTAATTGTCAACTGCAGTTGGCCACTTAGCTGATCACAATGGAATACAATTGCTAGTCTCAAAGATATGATTACGCGTACGTAAAAACGTATACATCGTTGGATCGATTGGAATGTATCAAAAATATATGGGTTCTATAATACTATAAGTACACTTTTGTGGGAAAAAAAACTGAGATACAGTACAGCGTACATGCGAGAGTATCGGGGTCCGTATACAAAATGGAAGAGGAGTCATAATCGTTAAAAACTATTGCCAATTTCAATAATAAATCTCTTGGCATACTAGCTACAGGGTATAAATGTCTCCGGATTTGAGTGCATGTCAACGTGGTGCAATCTTTCGGTAGGAGTGACGACTCAAAGAACTAAAGATTTGGGAAACAATTGCTGCTTAACATAGTCGTTGATCATCTCCATGAGCAGCTCACGATTGAGCTTCGGATGCTGCAGCACGTAGCCAAAGTCTTTCAGTTTCGTGTTGTCCAAGTAGAGGTGCTTGTGCTGGAGCTGCTCCTCATCGAGGTACGGTGTCAGCGGGGTGTTGTCGATGCCATTGCGCTGGCAAATCTCGGCCCAGGGTGCCATGTGCTTGTCGTTGATTTCCCCAACGGTGTCCGTGGGATAAAGCTAAAAGCGAGAGATGATTAATAAACTATAGCTTAGTGCACTATGCAGTGGGGTTTTTGGTAATACAAATAAAAAAAAAAACATAGTCTTTGTCTACAAAGAAATTTTATAAGCTCATTAACGAACTTTTTGTAGACGTTGTCTATTGCGTATATATGGTAATTATGCAGTGCTTTACAGCTTTTTGTTTGGTAAACGCTTTAGTAGGTTTTCTTGGAAAATCTAAACAAGAATACACCTTGCTTAAAACTGGTTAATCTTCTTCTGACTAAATATATTAACGCGGTGCTTATGCAAATCTCAACCAGATATCTATTTTTTGAGCTACTTACTTTTGCCAAATTCGACATGACCAATCCGAAATAGTCTACATTAATGTCGAAAATATCCACCAACAGATTACTAATGCTGCCCTGCGTTGATGCTGAATCATCGACGACATTGTAGATATGCCCAGCGGTCTTTGGGCTTTGAGCCAGTTGCCAAACTGCGGCGCACACATCCGATACGTGCACCGTATTCAAACGCATGGCATCGTTCCACAGCAGCTTCATTGTCTCGTTGAGGTATTTGTAAATGGCAGCGATTATAATGCGCGGCACTGTGAACGGGAGGCAATGGGTGGTGGTCAATTACATCAATTATCGGGCATTAGCGAAGGGAGAGACTCACTCAAATAGCGCTTATCGCCAATGCCATAGACCACGGGCAAGCGGACGACCGTGTAGCTGAGATCGTCGATGTTGGCCAGCTCCTTCTCCACCTTCAGTTTCTGACGGGCCACGCCCGTCCAGGGGTCCAGCTTGCAGTCCTCCTTCAGTGGCGTCTTCTCGCTGCTGTTCACACATCCGGAGCTGAGTTCCACGTAGCGCTTAACGCGCTGGGCGGCCGCCTCATTGGCGCAGTTTAGGCTGAGCTTGAGGATGCCCTCCTTGTACACGGCATCATCCTGGTTGGCACGCGTCTCGGCCGCACAGTTGATGACGATGTCCCAGGCCCTTCCGGTCGTGGGGTGTGGCGCAAAGGCTGCCTTGCAAGAGGCTGTAAACACAAAGACAAGGGTTTCAGAACCAGTTTAGGCGCAACTGCATTAGGGTGGCTCGTTTTGAAAAGAGCTCGCAAGAGAAAGCTTGAGGATTTTATTTTTTAACTTTCTTGCTGTTAAGTCGACACTATATTTTCTTTAAGTATAAATATGTACATATAGAATACTATAAACCATTAATAACCATTACTGCCATTTCTACAGTTCCCAAAAAACACGGGTTTAAAAGGTCATTACTTTATCAAATTTCATAGAGATTTTCTTTATGTAAACAGTTTAAATTCAAATTTTAAGACGACTCCTTTAACCTTTTACCAGATCTAAAGTTTCCGGTCAAGAAAGAGATTATGATTTCAGCACTTTTTGCAAGTCCCCTTAGACTGAACCACCCTGGTGTGATTACCTACCGGCATTTATAAGGTTGGCACTGCAGAACTCCACCCGGTCGCTCTCGAAGACCCGCTCCTGCTCCCCGTTTAGCCAGGCCATCTGAGGAGGCGTCTTATCGGCCAGCCGTATTTCCTGCGCCAGTTCATTGTCCAGCAGATAAGTGGCCAAGTTGCGTCCGATGAAGCCGCAGCCTGCGGGGCACAAAAAAGCGATGCATTCGGTGATAAGCGGATGTAGGGGCGGGGTCCCGACGGGAGGCTGATGCACTTCTTCGAGCTACTACTTACCACCCAAAATCAGAACAGTCGGCTTCTCAGACATGCTGCAGTCGCGACACAATCAACCGAAATGGGAAATGAGTCAAGTTGAGAGATATGATATATTTGTTTGCGGTCGTTTCGTTTTTGTTGTTTGGCTGCTGTTTTGTTAGTGTGACCGAAGAGCACCCCTGTCGAAATAGCAAACTCAATTGAGCCAAGCCATTCCATTACTGGTCACACTGCGGCGCCTTATTTCAAACGTACCGGATTGCGGCCAAGCACTTTCTAAAAATTAAGAAGCTTGCATAAAATCATAGGTGTTAGCTTCCTCAAACACTTCAAAAAGAACCATTCAAACCAAACTTTTTGAGGGTCTGATAAATACTTACTTTGTAATACTTCCTAGAACCATTATACTTAACATTACTTCACATTGAACCAAACTGAATTCTAATTAAAGAATACGGATATGAAAATATACTTAATGATTTGACAATTTATTCTTGGCACTTGCACGAGCATGGCAGATTTTTTGGCTATCAACAGCCATTTCTGCTGGACCACAATTCTCCGGATTTTTGGTTGGCTGGAGCCCTGAAGCCACGTACTATGACCTTCGCCTGCCACCAGCCGCTGGTTTCCTTGGTGGTTTTTAAACAGTCGTTAGCCCCGCTAGCATCTTCTTCAGTTTTATCCAGATCCAGCAGGCCAAGGTCCTCATAAATGGCCATCTCCTTGCAGCAGTGCATTTTCGTGGATGGATTCTCGTTGCAATGCAGAAGATGGAGGTGTATGTTCTTGCAACTGCGCGGCAGTTGACTTAAAACGTCCTTGGGAATCAGATTGGCCGAGTCTCCCTGGGATCCATGAGCATTTTTATCTGCTGTAAGAAGTTCCATTTCCAAGAACACGCTGGTGGCATTCAGTTCCGTGGAGAAGAGGGTGTATAGCTCGTCGCAGGTGAGTAGCCGGAGCAGGGCCTGGTTTATTTGACCTTCGGGCAAAGCATGGTGCTCGCAATAGTGGTCCCTGGAAATGGAATCGTGTGGTATGTGCAGAGTATAAGCCTCAGAGGGCAAAAACGTATTGTTGCCGAACAGAAATCGTAGGCTCTTCACTTCTGAGGTCCTGAAGGCTTGTCGAATGAGCTGCGGGTAAAAGAGGGTAACAATTAACGAAAGGAGCCTCGCGCAACAGGCAAACCGCACCTCTCTCATGTCACTGATGGAATTTTTGGTAGCCGTTGCCCTAGAGCGCTGCTGGTTGAGCTGATAGTGAGCAAAAGACTCCGTCGATCCTCTCATCTCGTCCGCATCCGACCATTTATCCACATAATATTTATATGTTTTGTACACGAAGGGAATTTGGCGGCGTTGGTAGAGCAGGAAGTCCAGGATGCCGTTCACAAACTCCGCCGCTGTTCCGGTGGTTAGAACCTCAACATTGTCGAGCTTGAGGTCGATATTCTTTACATTTTGATCCATTAATAGGCCGTGGTAAAGTATATTTAAATAATTTGGAGAATTCGCGCTAGAAACCAAACAATAAACAATTTTAAGGCGCTGCCAGACTGTCGTCTAGTAACTGTTTTTGTTATCGATCAGTACATAAACTGTGACTAATAAATTGGGCCATTTCCACTACCCCAAAAAAATTGAACCAAAATTCATAACCAAATGGTTGCAAATACAGAACCAGACCATTATCATTAAAATGAGGGCACAGTTATTCGTTGCCTATCTAATCTGTTTAACATTTTTTAAAAATATTTGTTCACCAGCTTACCTATAAGGTTGCCAGACTTCCGTATTTCGTGAATATGGTACCTCTGTCGCAACCAACTTCGCGTTGCTTATGACTAGTAGAAATTCTGTTTTGTTGCCGACAATAAAAAGTCAAAAAGTTCAATAAAGTTTTAGTAAGCGAGCAGCACCTTATAAAAATGGTAAATCACATCCAGCAAAACACCCACAACTGATTTATCATCGGGAGTTATCTTTTTATAGGGACAAAACCAATCAGCCCAAGGGGGAGCTGGCGACAAGAAGGATGACAAGGACAAAAAGAAGAAGTACGAGCCCCCAATCCCGACCCGCGTTGGCAAGAAGAAGCGCCGTGCTAAGGGTCCGGATGCGGCCATGAAGCTGCCCCAGGTCACGCCCCACACGCGCTGCCGACTGAAGCTGCTCAAGCTGGAGCGGATCAAGGACTACCTGATGATGGAGGACGAGTTCATCCGCAACCAGGAGCGCCTGAAGCCCCAGGACGAGAAGAACGAGGAGGAGCGCTCCAAGGTGGACGACCTGCGCGGCACACCTATGTCCGTGGGCAACCTGGAGGAGATCATCGACGACAACCACGCCATCGTGTCCACATCGGTGGGCTCCGAGCACTATGTGAGCATCCTGTCTTTCGTGGACAAGGATCAGCTGGAGCCCGGCTGCTCCGTCCTGCTCAACCACAAGGTCCATGCCGTTGTGGGAGTCCTAAGCGACGACACCGATCCCATGGTCACCGTGATGAAGCTAGAGAAGGCTCCCCAGGAAACGTACGCAGACATCGGTGGCTTGGACACACAGATCCAGGAGATCAAAGAGTCCGTCGAGCTTCCGTTGACCCATCCCGAGTACTACGAGGAGATGGGCATCAAGCCGCCCAAGGGCGTCATCCTGTACGGTCCTCCAGGCACCGGTAAGACTCTTCTGGCAAAGGCGGTGGCCAACCAGACCTCGGCCACGTTCCTGCGCGTGGTGGGCTCGGAGCTCATCCAGAAATACCTGGGAGACGGGCCCAAGTTGGTGCGCGAGCTGTTCCGAGTGGCCGAGGAGCATGCCCCCTCCATTGTGTTCATCGACGAAATCGATGCTGTGGGCACCAAGCGCTACGACTCGAACTCTGGCGGCGAGCGCGAGATTCAGCGCACCATGTTGGAGCTGCTCAACCAGCTGGACGGTTTCGATTCGCGCGGCGATGTCAAGGTGATCATGGCCACCAATCGCATTGAGACCCTGGACCCGGCGCTGATTCGTCCCGGCCGTATTGACCGCAAGATCGAGTTCCCGCTGCCAGATGAGAAGACCAAGCGCCGCATCTTCACCATCCACACATCGCGCATGACGCTGGCCGAGGATGTGAACCTCAGTGAGCTAATCATGGCTAAGGATGATCTCTCCGGCGCCGACATCAAGGCCATTTGCACGGAGGCCGGTTTGATGGCGTTGCGTGAACGCCGCATGAAGGTGACCAACGAGGACTTCAAGAAGTCAAAAGAAAGCGTCCTGTACCGGAAGAAGGAGGGCACGCCTGAGGGCCTTTATCTATAAGTCTACAGCAGATATATTTTCAGTTAATTTTGATAATTCCCAAACACATGCATTAAACCACATTAACACTAGATTCGCTGCCCGTTAAGAATAAATTTGTAGTTGATGGGAGTTGCTGCGCAAATTGCACCAGAAGGTTGTCCACGTAGGTTCTCTGTTTATCTGATATAACGTTAAGAGGTGCCCCCTGATGCTCCAGATATTTAAAGTGCGATTTATCCATGGCATCCGCTAGTTTTAGTTGTTGGTAAGCCTCTTGCTCTGTGCTCAGTTCGGCATTTGCAGTCCCCGCATTTTTCAGAGTTTCATAAAAGGCACTTAGTTTTGCCAGTTCAAAGCCTGTTTTGAATCCATCCTCAAAGCCCTCGTCGAAACTATCTTGAAAGACCTTTTCTCTTCCATCGGAAATACCATCTGCATAGCTTATCTAAAAAAAGAAAAGGGCATTTAAAGTCGTATTTATTAAAAACTATTAGTATAAAAACAGCTGATTTCAAAATCGGTTTAAAAGTACCTTTGCTACTTTTTCTTGCACGCGCTGGTAATTTGTTGAGCTTATCTCTTTGAAGTCAGTTTCCTCATCAGAGCCTTCTATCGCTGACATTGTTTTGTGCAAAATATTAGCAAAACATCAAATAACAGTTAATAACAAATGAAATGTGAGTTTCTGGGCAACAGGTGTGACCGGGTTTCAAATGCCAAATAATACAATTTTAAACAATTATCCAGTTTTTACCTATTCAATAATTTCAGAATAAAATACAAGAATTTGATGAGCTTATAAAACTTGCAAAAAGAAAAAAAAAACAGGATTCGTAGCATATGATAAAGTTTATTTGGTAAGCTATAAAATCAAATTTCCCGCCACCTTAGAGCTGCCAGACTGCCGCTTTGGTATTTCCAAAATAGTTTTACAGCACTAGCGTATTTTGAATTTAAAAATTTTCAGTTATAGAAAAAGCTGAGATAAAATAATGGTTGTGGGCGCTTTTCCACTGGTAAAACTTGCATTGCTGGGCATCAAGCACATAAGTAAACCCATTAGCAATCTGATCAACCAAACGGCTAAAAAGAATCAGTCATTTAAAACCCTAGTTGTCGCCCCACCAGCAAGATGTAAGTAGTTTTCTCAAATCGGGAATCGATTCAAAGAAGATCGTTTCCAGTGTATCACGTAATTGATGTGCGCTCAAAGATGTGGATGCTGGGGCTGGGCCAACCTCGGCTTATTCCGCCCTTGAATGACGCGATGTCAATTCAAATGGGCAGCGATATCCTGGGCGAGATGTTCATCTTTTTGCTTGGTGCTACGTTCATAGTAGCAGAGTTCTCCAGGTTTGCTTCCTATATTATCTTTACTAATTCTAATTTGTATTTTAGACAGGCGAAAAATGACAGAATAAAGCAGGAAAAACAAAAGTTGCATCGGGAGCAACTGGAGGAAAGAATTAGTGACCTAGTCCATAAGCAATCCCGTCAAGAGAAAGTTATCAGTCAGCTAAGAACAATGGTTAGGCGTAAAGATAGCGACTGCGGATGTATCGACACAAGGGATTCCGAATGTAACTGAAGTGGTTTTGAGAATCCAGTCATCTTTAATTAGTGTTAAATTTTAAGTTACGGATAATGGTGATCGGCAGCTTCCCAGTGGGAAAACTTTTTGTGTTTGGTTTGAAGCGGGCCAGCAAGCCATTTGGCGATCTTCTGATGTGGATGGGCAAGCATCACCCATTCATTCGGCACTATGTCATCATACCGCCGGCTCAACTTTACAACGCATTTGAAGTACGTTCCAAAATGCGGATGATGCGATTGAAACAGCCAAGGAGGATTCCTCGCCTAACACCTCCGATCGCCACGAGATTGGGCGCCGATATGCTAAGTGAGGCCATTGTGGTTGCGATTGGACTGGGACTCATATACTACGAGGTTTCAAAAACTTTCAAAAATGATCAGAAGAAACAGCGGGAGCTTGAGGAGCAAAGTAGAGTTTTGGATGAGCGCATAGATCGTATAAGTGCCGATATGGAGCGGCAGGAACAGGACATCAACTGGCTAAAGGCGACCCTAAAGAACTGAAAAGTGATAGCTTATAGTATTTAGTAACGACTGTATTTAATCTGTTTAGTTCATTTTACTAATTTAAAAAGTTCGGCATAATATAAACTAAAAGAGTATTTTAATTAAACAAATCTAAATCTCTCTTATAAAACAGGGTTGTAAGAATCCCTTTTTATAGTTTATATCCCACCTGTGCCTAAAATGTTCTAAGCTAAATGCATAATTGGAACTCGCGATTTACTTTTTTAAATTTAAGTCCTTAATTTTTGTTGAATACGACTTTCTTTTTTGGTTCTAACTCAAAAAATATACGAAGTCCCTACATGTTTTATTTAAATAAACATACACTTAATCTCTGAAAAAAAAAGTATTTCCCATGTCTCAAAGTGACTCTCCCAAATTATTAACGGCTAAAAAAATCTTTAAATTTATCATCTCTAAAAAAGAACGAGCCTATCGTGCATCGTGCACACCGCTGTCCTGTACACATCTCTAATTTTGCACGAATATTTTGTAATAGCTATTAGTAAGAACTAAAACAATGGTTATTGGCGTCTTCCCGGCGGCCAAACTCGGTGTCTTGGCCATCAAGCAGATCAGCAAGCCGATAGCCAACGTGATCAAGTCGAATGCCAAGTCCAGTCCGTTTTTCAGGAAGTACGTTTGCATGCCGCCGGCGCAGTGTAAGGAAATCCGATATGATTAAATGAGATTACGGCAATATTTGCACATTTTCAGTTTATAACTGGGTGGAGGTGAAGACCAAGATGTGGGCGCTGAACATGGGTGGCCGGGTGACTGTCCCACCGCTGAACGAGGCGATGGCCATTGAGCTGGGTGCCAATCTGCTGGGCGAGTTTATCATATTTACGATCGGAGCCGGTCTTTTGATCTTCGAGTACTCACGGTAAGTGGTCAGGAGTTCCTAGTCAGCCCCGAGCTTAATAAACATCGCCTTCTAGTCAAACCATCAAGGAGAACAAAAAGAACGAGTTGGCGCAGACGGAGAAGATGGAGCTGACCAACACGCTGACGGAGATGAACTTCCGACTGGAGCGACAGGACGCACAGATTCGGGAAATGACTCGAGTGCTGGCTGATCTAGGTTCCATGCCCTCTAAACCGTAGAAATGTAAAAGATGATAACACAACGCCTCCTTCCAGATTCGCGCAACATCTTCCGCTGGCACAAGGAGCCCATTCAGGAGTACGTACCCTTCGATCCCAGCACACCGGACCAGAGCGCCAATGCCAGACACCCCAAGTCCGCCGAGAGCTTGTATGACCCGCTGGGCGGCATGGCCTTCCGTGCCCTGCACTTCCTGGACACGCAAATCTTCGTGGACGGACGCAACCGCAAGGGAAAGGAGGCACTGAGGCACCTGGATGAGGTGGCCGAGCAGCTGGAGCAATCGTTAGGAGAGGCTGCCAGCGTCATCGTCGCCAGCCCACTGCCCACGAAAACAGAGCTATGACCCAACCGCCGGCTGGAGCAGGATGTGGCGCTGCTCATGATGGCAGTGGCCATGGAGGAGCAGTGAGGCTGTCCACTCGTACACATTCACCCTGCAGACCATTTCATCTGTGCTAGTTATGATCAAATCGCGTGTTACCATTTCGTACTCTAAGCAAAAAAAAGTCAATAGTTTTGTATAACTATTGTACGTTTGTAGTTATATTTATTAATTTTTATTGTTACCGCAGACAACAACTAAAGAATGATGAAAAACAGTGTACAAGATGAGTGTTTAAAGTGATGGATGGGTTCTACTCCTGGCAGACAAGGGCCTGCAGCTGGTGCAACTCCTCGCCGGGCGGCAGAAGATCGCCGAGGTAGTCGCAGAAGGAGCTGCAGATGGCATACAGACTTCGGCGCACAGCGCATCGGAGAACATTGAAGTTGGAGCTGGGCGCTTTCAGGTTGCCTATCACGCTGCTCAGCTTATCCAACTCATTTCGTAGCTTGTTTATCGCCTTGATAACGGCCGCTAGATCGTTCTGCACCACCCCATACGGATCCTCTTTGAGCGAGGCCACGCAAATCTGGGCCAGAGCCTGCGTCAAGTACACCACTGGCAGCGAGTTGGCTAGCAGGAACGTGGTCTTGGCGCCCTCGGGTTCCGTGAAGAGGTACACAATGCCGGGCACTCGTTGAACCAAACGCTGCACGGATTGCTCCAACTGCTTGGAGACGCGCTCACACCAGTTGGGCACATGGCGAATGCCATCCGCCGGTCGATCCACTGCATCCTCGCGCCCTGGCGACACAATGGGTCGTATGCCGTGCATCTGGTTGTACTGTCGCAGCAGCAGCTTCTCGGCCATTAAACTGGCGCTGGTGGATTCGCTGATCTTGGGCATTGGCAGGCTCTGGGCGCCCTTGAGCACGCTGATCTTCTGCATGGACTCGGTAAGTTCCTCAGTAAAGCTGCCCAGAATGCTCACACACTGGTCGCAGAGGGCGCGCCAATTTGCTGGACGGTTTCCCGGCTCCGTAAGCTGGAAAATCTCCGCTCGCTGTGGCGAATCCTTTCGCAAAGCCAGCTTGTAGAAATAGTTGGCTGCCAGGCACTGTACTACATAAACGTTGCAGACTCCGAGTCCAGCGACGATAGTCACCTCTTGTTCGTGGGCAAAGGCCGCTCGCTGTTTGGACACCACCAAAGGCAGATCCTCGGAGAGCAGCATGCCGTAGAAGCAGCGCATGAGGTGCATGTTGCTCAGAATCTGGACAGTAAGGAGATATCCATAGAAAAGCAGGCGCACATTGGTGGCAACTCCGAAGAAACCCTCCAGCCGCTCGTCCAGGTCCACAGAGAGGATGTGACTGAGTTTGTGGCACATCAGGGGTCCAAAAAGCCAAAAGGCGAGGGTGTAGCTGAGAGTGGGGAGCAGTGATCTGACCAGGGATCGGGACAAGCTGGCGGGCAGTAGTTCACGCATCTTTTCGCCACGTGATTGTTCCACGATGGGGAATTCGATTGAGACCTCCTGGCGCATGTGCACGGACACAAAGTAGTAGCAGCCGGCGGCTGTGCCCATTCCCAGCAGATAGACATGGTAGGCACTGATGCACTCCTGGCCATAGCACTTGTAACGCAGATGCCTGGGGTGAAAAAAGTCGGCAGTGTTAAAGACAAATACTATAAGGGTCTTTCAGCCAATTTTAAGCTCTCTTACTGATAGTCCGTGTGGAGATAGCCCGTGTAGAGCCAGGCGGTGAGGAATCCGACCAGGAGATGGGCGCCCAGGAGAAGCAGCTTGCGGGGACCGTAGTGGATGAGCCAGCGGTACCGGGTGGGACAGTATGGACGCTCCGACAGGTGCTGCTGGCACAGGGAGACGCCGTACAGGACGACGGAGGCTACCAGCGGGATGCTGGCGAACCAGGTGTACCAGCTGGCCACCAGGCGCAGGGTGCCCGTCACCCAGGAGAGCGGATGCAGCAGCTGGAAGTTCACCGACAGCAGGAACACGGTGAGCAGCAGGAACTGAATGGCCACGCTGAGAAGCACTGCGCGCAGACAGCGGCCGAGGAGCACAAGTTTGCAGGCGTTGCTGGAGGAGCTGGCAGACATGATTCCAGTCAGAGATGACAAACCATCGGCTGTTTGACAATAATTTAGTTTAGCTCTATGAATATTAATTGCAATTAAGCTAATAATTGGATATCTCGACGGTTGCCGGCAACGCGCGCGTTTTGTTGTTGACAGTGTGACCGTATGTGGAAATTAGAGCTGGTCATAAATCGATATCTCAATAGGTATTTAAAATCTTTAAAACCGTTACTATTTGAAATGTTATATATATTTGAATAGATGCATTTGATAGTTTGAAAATGCCATTCATTAAATTAATTATTCTTTTCCTTTTGTCCCATATAGCATTGAACGTAGAAGTTGGCAAACATGACGAACATAACCGCAGCGGAGCAGCTGACCAGGAAGAGGGTGCCCTGCGAGGCCTTACACTCGGGCTGCGTGGCGGTGAAGGCACAGTGGCCAAACATTAGGACGAACTGCATCATTTGCAGGAGAGTCAGGTACCGCTTCCAGCGCACCGTCTTGCCCCCAATGGCCGAGTAGTAGTAGCCATACATGAACACGTGCACGATGACATTGAAGGAGCACAGGAGGAAGAGATGACCTCCGTAGCCCTGGAAGCGGATTATCACGTACCCTGCAGTGGGCATCAGCACGTGATGGAATACATGTAGGAACGTTATTTGCGCGTACTTCTTGCGCAGCACACAGAAGACAGAGTCCAGGAGGTCCACGATCTTGTTTATGTAGTAGGCGTAGCTAATGCTGCGCTCCCAATCCTTTAGAGGATGATCCTGTGGCAGGACAGTCATGCAGCTCAATTTGTATGGCTGGAACACGAAAAGAAAGTAGTAGCCCTGTGGGCGGACCTCGTTACTTTTTAGTTTAATCTCACGAGTACAGACTCACGGACAATAGCATCATCATGTTGTAGCAGATCTGGACCATGTTGTAGTACTTCAGCACTCCCCGCAGATTGTACGGTTCTCGGTGCTCCATAAACTTCCGGCCCGCCTTGAAGATAACCAAAATATGTAGGTGAAGATTATTTTGGTCTCATACTGATCTCAATCTTACTTTGAAGACGACCAACAGATAGCTGGTGATGATGATCAGAATGGGACCCGGTCCACTGGCCAACGGCAGTTGTTTGGAGTCCGCATAGGGTGTGCTAAATATTTCAAACATTTCTAACGCTAGTCAATTTTAACTTTTTTTTTGTAGCCAAATATTTGAAAACTCAGCCTTATTTGCTGCTCTTGTTTTGTTTGATTTGTTGTTTCAATATGTATAATTTAAAAAAAAAAGGTAAGCAATAAATTAGGTCATTTTTGAAATTAAAACTCCATTGCTTACATTTTTAAATTCTAATTTTAAAAGAGAAATAAATTGAGTGCAATTTTTTGGTGCCGCCATTTGGAACAAATATTGATGAGACCGGTATTATGAATACATCGATGACACCAATGATCAGGCAATGCCAGGAAAAACGAATCTGGTAACGCTGTTAGAAAGAAGTGGCCAGTTGGAGAATTTTTAAGTTCGCTCTTATTGTTATCGATGTTTTCTGGCAGTAGTGCATTTCTCAGGAAACAGCGTCTGGTCACATCACAATTTGTTGTTGTCGCGGTCGGAAAAGTGCACGGAGTTACGGTCAGCGCCCGTCGATTTTCCGTTAAATAAAGCATTAAAATTCCAATACAAATGCGTGCACTCTTCGCGGCGGAAAAACACCGTAATTAGGTGTGTAAAAGGGCCAATTGGCCGGAAAGAAAGTGAAAAAAATTCGAAATTCGGGCAGTAGAAAATTTTTGTGTGCGCGTTTGCCAATGAGAGTCGAAGTGGGAGCGAGAGAGCGAGAGAGGGCCATAATATTGCGTGAATCGAACGAGCGACACAAAATTGTTGTAATTAATTCATATTTAATTGGCATTTGGCGTAATCTGAGTCTGTGCATAATAAAGCCCAAGACGAAGTGCAGTTGTCAGTGTTGTAGCGTAATGCGTATTGAGGTCACTTTGTACATGTTATAGCAGCAGAAACCGCAGCATAGGCACGCGTTTAGTGTGTGTGTGTGATTGCCCAATACCCATACCAGTGCACTGAGATAGCCACCAATATTTCGTTTTCATCCCACTGCACTGTGGGCCAAACACACACTTTTCAATTAAACATAAAACTTTAATGGGGCTAAAAAAAAGCTGAACGAGAGCACCACTGCTAACTTAGCAGCTTTGTTGCACTAACATAAAAAAATTAAGGAATTTCCTTACACTTTATTTTTTTTTTTAAATTTCAAGTTAATAACTAATGCCAGAAAAAGTGGTACATCGTCCATAGTGCGCAGCCCAAGGCAAACAGCTGCTCTCCGCGAGCGTTGTTTGTGTTGTTTGGGCGCTGATCGCCGAAGCAGAACCGCAGGGCAGGTGGTGTCCACACAAACAAACAAGCACGCATTAATTATACTACTTAAAAAACAGTCTGCAAATTGTGCTAAAGTAAAAATAGGGGAGAGGAGGAAGAGAGTGGTGTGGGTGATGCCCAGCCCCCCACCTCCCACAATTTCCCCCTCGCTCTCTTTCCTTTCTCTCTGCTTTGGTGTCTTCATGCTCCATTCACCTACTTTTACGCGCTCTCTGCTCTCCACTCTTCATTCGCTACTGCTGACGTTCGTTTTCTGAATTTTTAATGAAGTCATGAGCAGATTGTGCACAGAAACAAAAATTAGTATTTCTTACAAAGGTGAAATAGCAAGCTTATTTGATTTTATACCAACTAAATGATTATTTCTATACTTTTAGGTATAATTTGTATACCAAAAAATAATTTGTATATAAAAAAGTGTCAAATTAAAAATTACCAACTTGATATCGATATTTTAAATGTATATGTTTTACCAGAGGCAAATTAGCTTTATTACCTTAGCAAATTATTATAGTGTTATATTATTATAGTGTTATAGTGGCTTTTTTCTGTGCACCACAAAACAACAACTCAACTACAACACGCAGCTAAAGTACAAAAGTCGTTGTCGCATTATTACAGCAAAAAGAAGCAGAGTGGCATACAAAATAATAATAATACAGAAAAAAAGTGAAATTAAGTGTTTTAAAAAAAAGAAACCATAAAAACATGAACATGACATGGCCGCGTCTCGTTTACACAATAACTCAAATTTAATTTAATATGCTGGCAAATGAGCAAAGCGAAAAGCACGCTAAGAGGTGAGCGAATAGCAGAATAAGGGGAAAAACTTAACAACGCATAAATAACGAAAGGTGCGGCCTACGATTTGTCGTTTATACGATCGCCCAGTTAGCAGTATCTATTTAAGAGCGATTGCGGGTTTTACGGCCTTGTCTCCTGCTGGATGTGCCTGAGATGGCGAATAAACCAGATTTTGGCCACTTCCATGTTCATTACACGCACAGCGCATAAACGCTGATTGGGTATCCAATTCTCCTGTGTTTGTAAGTGGTCAACTAGCAGAGCAAAACAAAGGCCACAACGCAATTCCATTCGATTTAGTTCGATGTCTGAGTCAACCGAAAACCCAGAGACAAAGCCCTCATATAAAAACTCATAAATATCGGGGATAAAACCAAGTAGGGGCTAATAAGGGTTACATAAATTAAAAATCAATTGTTCTTACAAAAAAAATATTTGAAAACAGATTTTAATAAATTTTAAACAACGTTCGTAACTTATTTCTGATTTGAATATTGTTATCCATTAACTTTCAGGTTGTTTTTAGAGATAAAAACTTCAAGTTGGCTTTTTTTTACAATAATTTCATATTAATGAGTAGATTTTTAATTCATAATTTAAGTTTTTGAATTAACGTATTGATGTTATGTTTTTAGCATGTGGTGCCCAACTCTTGGAAGTAAAAAAGAAATTCGGGTTATAAATAAACAATTTTAATTTTAAATAGTGTTAAGCACGAATTTGTTTGAAAACTGTCCCTGTGTCATCTTTATTATAAAAATACCTAAATTCAATTTAAGTGATTGAACATTTTGATAGACTGTGATTAATGGGGGATTTCCTTGAAATTTTGCAGGCCCTGAATCGCGGAGGAGCTACTAAACGGCTGCTGTTATCGCCATGGCCGCCGCTTCTGCTGGCCAGCAACAGCAGCAACATCAGCACCAGCACAAACTGAATATTGCTGGGAGTGCTGAGACAGTGGCCAGCGAGATGCATCACCAGCAGCAGCAGCAGCAGCAGCACCAGCAGCAGATCAACATGTTCAAGCAGCAGCAGCAAATGTTGCCGCTGCATCAACAGCACCAGCAGCAACAGCAGCAACATCATCACTTTTTCCAGCAGCAACAGACAAAATTTGTATCGCGGGTCGTCACAAGTGGATCGATGCAACAGCAGCAACATCAGCAGCATACGCAACAGATACTACCAGCTGGTTTGGTAAATGGCAACGGCAGCGGCAACATGATGCAGGCGGGCAATCTACACCTGCAGCAGCAACATCAACAGCAGCGATCCAGTCAGCAGCATATATTTGTGTGCCCCACCAGCAACCAGCAAATCCTGCTGCAACATCAACAGCAGCAGCAGCAACAACAACAACAGCAACAAACCAAACAGCGCCAGGCGCAAATAAAGTTGCCAATAAAGTCAACGGCGGCAGCCACAGTAACGGCAGCAACTGTTGCTGCTTCTGGGGCAACGCATTGCATGCCGACCACAATTGCATCGCGTCAAATGAGTCAGAACAATCAGCTCTATGCGAAGAATGTTGCCAAAGCCAACAAAGCCAACAGCAATAGTAGTAGCAACAGGAAAACTACCAGCTACAATGGAAATTTGGCCCCGGGCTGGCGTCGCCTAACCAACAACAATGAGGTGGCCTACATCAGGTAAGTGGTCTCCCATAAGCCAAACGAGAATATGAGGGAACATTAGTGCTTACAGTGCTTATATCTCCAGTTTGAGCACTCTTCGTCAAAGAAAGAGCTTGTTGATTCTGTTGCTGGGCTGTTGTTTGGACATGACATTTACAGCACTTTGGGGGCCCCGGCTAAAAGTCAATCTGGTTATTGTCTGCAAAACGCAAACGCATTCGAGAAGCCATAAAAATGTTCAGCGATCCCCTCTCGGTACAGGAAATGCCACTGTCCGAGGGGTTTGAGGTGGCGGAGGGGGGCGCCTGGTTGTTTAGTGGGCGTCTGGGGGGTTGCAGCCAGTAGTCGTGTCAGAAATGTTTTTGCAACAAGGCACAGGCGCAGACACAGGCAACAACTAGCAACCATCAACGAGTCGGGGGCAAATATTTACCTGGCATTATCTGCGAGTTATCATCAAGCACACATAATTACAAACTCAAATAAAATGTTTACTCAGATATGTTGAAAAGCATTAAGTATGTGGATATATCTGCTGGCCTGGGTACTTGTAATTGTTCTCGCAGTCCAATCGCCTCAGGGCCAAAAAGGGGGGCTCTGGGTCTTAGTGTTTTTTTTGGGCTCTGCGCAAACAGTTTGCGAGTTTGTGGCTGTTGCTGTTGCCGTTGCCGTTGCCGTTGAAGCCGATGTTGGGTAATTGTTGATTTTATAAGTGGCTGCCACTTCTGAGTGCTTGACTCGTCTCGTTGGGATAGTTTACCTCGCAGCTGTTGCCCCGGGCTCATTTGCCCAGAAAGGGTTGGCTTTGTGTCTCTGTGGTTCTGGGATAACTGCTTTTCGAGCCACTTGTGCAGATTATTGCTGCGAATACTCCGCTCGATTGGCAGATTGAAAGCTTCCAGGGAATATGTTCCTGTTTGTTTTTGAGCACCAAGCCGAGATTCTCATTATGACAGGCATCATTATGATTATTGGGCTTTAGAACTCGACTCACGTAGTCGGAGTGCCAAGAAGTTGCAGCTTATCCGACGCAGTCCATTTACCGGCAATGTCGCATTTCACTCAACCAGTCACTCTCTGGGCCATTACCCTTCTAGGACACACTTTGAGGGCACCGCTGGCTTGTACGTCCACGTCCACGTCCACGTCCTTTGCTTCACGACCCGCTGGTCAGAGCCAGAGCCCGTGCCCACTGGTATTTACTTGTGCCCGGCGACGACATGACATCGTGTGTCAAGCGTTGTCATTGTCCACAGCCGGCAGCAAAAGCAGCAGCAGCAGCAACAACAACGGCAACAGCAGCTGCTGCTCATTTCCACGTTGCGTGTTGTTGCCGGGTTTTGTCGGGTTGCTCGCTGCTATTTGCTGTTTGCCCAAGCGGATGGTTGCCAA